CCCCTCGTCCACATCTTCAAATGCACACCTCGTGAAGGAGCAAATTCCTCCTTTCCTACTCTCCTGTCTTCATCAACCTATTCACCTCACTCTCTTTGTTTCTGATCCGCAAGCTGGAAGCCCTTCGATTTCGTCGTTATTTTCATTCAAACAAGCACGCAAGTTCACGATCTTGTCCTCTTCTTCATCCCCCCGTCCCTTTACATGATGTTCTTCCACACATCACTCGTCACTCTGGCTGCTGCCTTCGCTCTCGTTGTCTCTGCTTTCTCTGTTCCTCTGGACTCGGAGATGGCACTGTCAATCGCCAATACTGAGCGAGGTCTCAACGGCCTGGGTCCCCTTACCTGGGATGTCGAGCTTTCCAATGCCGCCACCAACTGGGCCAGCTACCTGGGTGAGGTTGGTGGCGTTGTCCATGCAACTGAAGCTGAGCGCCCAAACCAGGGCGAGGTCATTGCCCACTACACCTCGACTTCCCCTGACGACGCCTCAGCGCACCCCATGACCCACGCCATGGTGGACTGGCTTGCTGAGCGCGTCAACTATCCCCCCGGCGCGGTCATTGACCAGAACTCTGGTCCCTACATCCACTGGTGTAGGCACAGCGCTGATTCGCCGTTTAGTATAGCGTTTACTGATGAATCCATGTAGCGCAGCTCGTCTGGTCTACCGCAACCGCCATCGGATGTGGCTTCAACCAGTCCCATCCGTCATTTTTTGATACTTTTGTTGTCTGTCGTATTTCTCCCGAGGGTAACATGTGAGTGCACTGGTTATTCGCCTGTTTTTCTCTTCTGCTTCCGACGTTGGGTTCCCTCCTTGTTCTCATGGTGCGCGCGAAACAAAAATGGGCAACATGCCATTGCATCACAGAATCCCACCAATCGTACCCAATTCATCTCCTTCCATCGACATGGAGCAAAAGTCCGTCTGTGGAGGGGCCACGGAAACCGCATTCATCACCTTGCATTTGAGCTGACTCTTCGCCCACGCAGCATTGGACAGCCTCCCTTTCCGTCGACCACAACCAAAATCACACGCCGTCAGGACACCTCCTCCGGCCCATTTGAGGGTGAAATCACCCACTATACTACTGGACTTGGTGCCTGTGGCTATGACGATACAGGTGCTTCTGGTATCGTCGCCCTATCGCACGAAAAGATGGGTGCTCCGTCCAACGGCAACCCGCTTTGTGACCGGCGAGTGCTACTTTCCGCCAACGGCAGAACTGTGGAGGGCAAGGTTCGCGACAAATGCATGGGATGTGCCATCAAGAATGTCGATGTCAGCGAGGACATATTTATCGCTCTCTACGACGACCTTGGTATTGGGCGTGGCTCCGTTACCTGGGAGTTGATTTGAAGCACTTTCTAGCCGGCATATCTGGCTTACATGACACTACGCGATGCCCGCGAGGAGCTCGGAAGAGGCGCATCTCAAAGCATAACCTCAAAATATGGGACGAATAGTGAAGAGGTACACAAAGCGGGAAATAGCTGAAGGATCTCACTGTTGTCGTTGATGTAGCCGCAAAGTCGACTATTGACAAGAACTGATACTTGAACTCATGGTCCCGCAAACTTGTGCCGTTGACAGTGCTTTTTCCTTGAGATTTCATGATGTGTCTTTCGTCAGATTAGATAATTGCTGTGTGTGATCATGGTGCATGAGCAGTCTTGGTTTGGGTCAGGTGGTCCAGCCGTCGGCAAAGTGCAGGGGATCCCGTCAGACGAGATCGGGAACCTAACATGGATGCCGCCCAACTAAACTTTGGCCTGTGCTTCGAACCTTCGTCCACCAATGTAATGACATAGAACACGTCGTCTCCCACACTTGGATACAAGTCGGCCTTGATGTCACGGCCTCCAGCCTCCCTTTCTTCAAAAGTCTGTTACCCCGCCTGGTCGGGACGATGGCAACATACTCACTACAGTAGTAAAAGGGCTGAAGACTCCCTAAAAAGTGGCCCCGATTAACATCCTCTGTTCCAATCGTCGTGGACAGTGGGTAGCACGCATTAGCTTGTGGCTGCCGAAGAGACCTTGACCTCACGGGTCTTCGTACCGGCAAGAAGCCCGGTCGCACCACGTCTCATGTCACCCCAATAGCACACGTCAGGTCCTAAAGCGGGACTCGGTCAGGGCATGACAGAACAGCTTAGCCCCTTGAGCAACATCTTGCGCAAGGCCACCATTCAGAAGCAGGACACTTCAGCAAATCGGATGACGTGGATCAATCCACGCTAGTCTTTGAGCCTCTGAACTTGAAAGTACGATAAAAACTAGTTGTCCTGGTGAGGTAGGAAACGCTTCCCGCAGGATCTTTGACGAAGCACAGCAGCTGACGGTATTGCAGTGTCATCTCTGCAGTGCCACGTCCGTCCAGGATCCTTGTGTGGACATGCCTCGACATTGAGGAGTCCAACAAAAAGGTCTGATCCGGGGAATCCACTTTCAGTGATGAAGGTCAGGCAACGTGAAACTCGTTGACGGGCATTGGTCGTCACACAGTTCACGAAGGCGGCCCACAGGTCGTTCTAGGCCAAAGGGGAAGCGGTCAAGCGAACAAAATTGGAGCCTTGTTGGAGAGACAAAAAGATGTACCACCAGGGCCTTTCGAACGACAGTAAAACCCAGTGCTACAGAATTAACAGAATCGCGCCGACTATAAAAGGACCATCTTCAACCCAGGAGCAAGTTGTGAACTATCAAACCCTGGACTCATCAATCATCTTGAGAATATCAAGTCTAAATATTGAGATAAGATTAGTTCTTGTCTTTCGGCAATTATGCACTTCTCTACCATTCTCGCCGGCTGCGGCACCCTGTTTAGCTTCACTCTCGCGTCTCCAACTTCTCCGCTGCTCGCCGCTCGTGATGACACTGTCAGCTTCGCTGTCTTCACCGATAGTAATGGCGAAATCGAGTCCTTCAAAAACGCTGAAGCTCTGGGCGTCGATGTTTACGGCCCCATCCCCGACGACGGCGTCGTTCATGCCGATCATGTCACGGCCGAGCCTGGCACCAAGGCCTGGGCCTGGATCCGCGCCCAAGCCGATATTGACTGGACCAAGGTATCCAAAGACAAGCGAGACGCGGTGTTGAAGAGGCAGGGATGGGCGAACATTGGGATCGGCATGTATGCCCAGGACAACTGTGAGTGACAACCTCGTCTCATCCAGGCGCTAGACCCGCTCCGCGAAACGAATAGATGATTGACAGCCCCGGGACAGGCGGGGGCCAGGCGTCGTACTTTGACAATGTCGAATATGGCACTCATCACTTTGATGTCGTCAACTACTACAGCATCGGCATC